ATCTTCCTGCACGTTGAGAAAATCCTCGAAACGTTTAAATAGGTCAAGATCAACATCCCTCTCCTAGATGCAATTGAACAAATCCCCTCTTATGCAAAGTTCTATAGGTCAAGATCAACATCCCTCTCCTAGATGCAATTGAACAAATCCCCTCTTATGCAAAGTTCTTGAAAGACTTATGCACTAAGAAAAGAACCACCAATGTCCCCAAAAAAGTCTTCTTAGCTGCCAACCTCAGTGAATTTTTTTCGAAACACATGTTGTTAAAATATAAGGACCCTAGTTGTCCCATAATTCCATGCGTTATAGGTAACACTCACATTGATAAGACACTTCTAGACTTGGGAGCATGTGTCAACCTCCTTCCTTATTCAGTCTATCAACAACTAGGTGTAGGAGAACTTAAAATGACAAGATGCACTCTATAATTAGCTGATAGATCCGTAAAAAATCCCAAAGGAGAGGTAGAGGATGTTTTGATCAAGGTTGAAGAGTTCATTTTCCCTATTGATTTTATTGTATTAGAAACGCAGCCCGTTTTGAATCTCAAAAGTCAAATCCCAGTCATTCTAGGAAGACCATTCTTAGCCACCTCAAATACTCTGATCAATTATAGAACCAGGCAAATGAAACTATCTTTTGGGAACATGACTGTTGACCTTAATATTTTCAACCTAAGGAGGCAGCCTAGTGATCCATTTGATCAACCCATGAAAGTGAATTTCATTAAGGGAATATCCAGTGAGCAACAAGAGGGAGAGTGTGAGTCAGATTCAAGTGCATCTGACTTAATGTTTGTGGAGTCTTCTGATAACGAACTAGAGTTAGATCCGTTAGTCAATCATGTTTCTACTGTTGGCTGGCAACGAGAACCTTTGGAGATAGAACCACGAATCTAGCTTCGCCCATCTGTGGAGGAATCCCCTAAGTTAGAGCTCAAACCTCTACCTGAAAATCTAGAGTATGCCTACTTAGGGGAGAACGAGTCTTTACCAGTCATTATTTCTTATGACTTAACTACCAGTCAAAAGGAAGCTCTCTTAGATGTTTTAAGAGAGAATAGGGAAGCCATTGGATGGACCATGGCTGATATCAAAGGGATTAGTCCAACCATTATTCAACACCGAATCCATTTGATAGATGACGCCAAACCTACTAGAGATCCTCAACGTAGGTTAAACCCAGTGATGAAAGAAGCTGTTAGGAAAGACATTCTAAAATATCTCGATCATAGGATCATTTATCCTATTTCTGATAGTTCATGGGTGAGTCCGGTCCAAGTTGTTCCAAAGAAATTCGGGATCACCGTGATCCAAAATGAGGGTAATGAGCTGATTCCCACTTGGATCCAAACTGGATGGCGAGTTTGCATTGACTATCGAAAACTCAACTTAGCCACTCGGAAAGATCACTTGGATGGCGAGTTTGCATTGACTATCGAAAACTCAACTTAGCCACTCGGAAAGATCACTTCCCTCTTCCATTCATTGACCAAATGTTAGAGCGCTAGATCACTTCCCTCTTCCATTCATTGACCAAATGTTAGAGCGCTTAGCAGGACATGAGTTCTATTGTTTTCTGGATGGATATTCAGGTTACAATCAAATCCTTATCGCTCCAGAAGATTAGGAGAAAACTACCTTCACTTGCCCGTATGGAACATTCGCATATCGACGCATGCCTTTTGGGCTGTGTAACGCACCGGCTACATTCTAACGTTACATGATCAATATTTTTTCCGACATGGTAGAGAGATTCAACCCCGTCTATTTTAACTATCTTCTAACTAAAAGGTGTTGCAAACACGAATTAACTAGAAAACAATGTTCTTCTAAAAAGTGACCCAATTTTAACTAACTCAACTGACGTGGCTGAAATTAGATCGAATTTTGTAAATAAAAATGGGTTAGGCCGATTTTTAGAAATAAATTGTCAAATGCATCTATTTTAAAAATTTCTCCTTTCTTTTACTCATTGAAGGTTCACACACCAAGCTTCTTACAAACAATTCACAAAAATAATTCTTGTTTACGAAAACCTTCTAACAATGTTATTAAATAATTTTCAAAATTCATACACAAAAATGAAAGCATTCTAATGTTGTTTACAATTCTATTTAAAAAAAAAATCCAAAAGTCTTTTACATTTTTATCCCTAAAATAAAAATAAATTTCAAGGTTTATAATATAGCCACATTTATATCTATACTACTTATAAAAGAGGATTGGGGTGTTAAAACTTTTGTTGCCTCTTTTATCTTTCCAAAATTTAATTCCCAATAATGTCTCAAAATTTATTTAATTCATTATATTTACTACACTATAATTATTCTTGCAATAAACATGAGAACTAATATTAAAAACTAAATATATATTATACATTTTAATCATATTCCTTAAATTTTATCCAAGTCATTCTATTTATTGTACTATAATTATTCTTGCACTAAACATAAGAACTAATATATATTATAAATTTTAACCATATTAGTTTTGCGTTAAATAAGATAAATATTCCACTTTACAATATTAGATATTATACAATAAATATAAAATTTTAATATATAAGATAATAATATCATAACTTATATTTATAAATTATATCATAATTTAAGATAATCTAATATCTAATTAAAAAACTAGCATCTAATCTAATACTATAATATATTGATATGTGCATCTGATGTATAAAAACATATCAATGGAGAGGAATACTAATATAAATGTTAACCTCTTGGTGTCGTCTAGAAAAAGCATATAAATTATCATAATATATGTTAATAACTATTGCAATATACTCATCATAGTATTTGGATACAGGGTAACTTTAAGCATGCTAAATTCCAAGAGGTGTGTGAAGTTATTACATTTGCTCTTGACACTAGATGTGGGAAGGTAATTTTTGAAGAAGATGTAGAGGCAGTAACTAGAGATATCCATAATGGAGTGGAGTAACGCTATGACTTTTGGACACTTTTGTGGATGATGTTCAGCATTGTAGCACATGACTCTAGGAATGAGATTTTTAGGTATTTCGTCAAATGAAAAATATAATGGCTCACGTGTTGGTCTGAAGAACTAAGGAAATTAATGATTTTATGGTATGGCTCGAAGACCCACAATCAAGTTTACACAGTGTTTTGTAGTCTAATAAGAAACATTGTTAATCCACATTCTTTTGTTGTGCTTCGGGATTTTTAGTTTAGTTTGGATGTGTCTTAACATTTTTAATTAAAAAACTAATGCAATATAATAATTAAATCCCAGCTAACAAAGTAATTTATGATATCTCCCCTTCTGAACCTACTAATAATGTATTAATATGTTAGTGAGATAACGAACCCATAATTAAAGCATTCATGTATCTTCTCTTACTGACTAATCAAATTCTCTTTATTAATTATGCACTAATTATTTCACGACTAATCTACTTCCAGAAACAATCCGCTTGGATCTTAATAGTTGCATAAAATCATGCTATAATAACCATGATACCTCGCAGGCAATAAGATTTAACAGGCGATAATTAAGAGACAAGAGTGCATTGCTTTTCTTTGGAGAAATGAACAAGTCTATGATCAATTTCACCTTTAATTTACGAAAAAACATCAATCTATTAGTTGTACAAGTATGAAAATTCATGGAGAGAAAAACTAATATAAATGTTAATAAATTCATAGCGAGTGGGTGGCTCAGGGCTTTGTTTGAGTCCTCGTCGTTGTTCTAAAAAAGAAGTCATGACGAGTGCAATGTTAGATGACCTTCGAATGTTTTAGTCTTATATCATTACTTAATATGCAAAGCACATGTTACATATTAGTTATATAAAATTTCCATTTTGAATATATGCTAAAACACACTTTTCAATTTGAACTTTGTATATGACCTTTTTTTCATGAGTTGAGGGGAGGAAAAATTTTCAAAATAGCCTCATTCCCAAATTTAATTCTAAAAATCGACCCAATCTACGATTATTTATTGAAACTGACATAGTTTCTGGTCACGTCAGCATCGTGGCCAGAAACTGGGTCGTTTTTAAAAAAATAAAACTTTTAATTAGTCGAGGTTGGCAACCTCGAGTAATTAGAAGCTTTTCCAATATGAACGGGTTTAGCAAAGATAAACCCCCACCAAAGTGATCGGGGTTGCCAACTCTGACCAAAATGGTCGCGGTTGTCAACCCCGTTCATTTGGGAGCTCAATGAAGAGCTTGCATTAGCAAATCACTTCATATTATTGGGATTAACAAACGTACATATTATTGAAAATGTACATATTACTAGGAAAGGACGAATAACATGAATCTTGAGCTAACTTCCAAGCAAGATTAAAATAAGTTTACAAATAAATATGATAAATACTTGGGCATAATTTATTCAGAATTTCTCACAAAATTAAAGTTGGAAGTGACCGTAGAGAAAAGAGCCTCCTCATCATTCATGAATGAAAATAAAAATTAACTCAAAAGTATCTTTTGAAAGGTTAATGCCAAGCTCTTCATGGAGCTCCTGCTTGAGAAAGCATTGAATTATTAAGTAAAAGCTTAAGAGAAAGGAAATAATTTGTTAGCTCTTCATGGTTGCCAAATGAACGGGGTTGGCAACCCGACCATTTTGGTTGAGGTTGGCAACCCTGATCACTTTGGTCGGGGTTTAGCTTTGCGAATGCCGCTCGTAGTGGAAGAGCTTCTAATTAGTCGGGATTGCTAACCCTGACTAATTAGAAGTTTGATTTTTTTAAAAGACCCAGTTTCTGGCCATGCTATTGACGTGGCCAGAAACTGGGTCGGTTTCACTAAATAACCTAGATTGGATCGATTTTTAGAATTAAATTTGGGAATGAGGGTATTTTAAAAATTTCTCCGTGAGGGGAGCTGAGTGCCAATAATGAGTTGATGGTGTTTAGTGCAATTAAAGGTTAAGTTGAGGAGGTTATGTGTAATTTACTCCATTTTATGTTGCTTACACGTGCTACCAACTATGCATTGTGTCCTTTTTATTTCTTTTGTTCTTTCCTGTTCTCAATTTCTCGTAAAATTTCTCCCTTTTTCAATTAATCTCTAGTATGGGAGACGAAGAAGCAGTGAGATCGGAGGAGTTCGTGAATGGAGGTACGGATGTCTTGAGTTCTTCGAGACATTCCGCTTCTTCTTCTGATCATCTCGTTGTCATGGTCCACGGGATTCTTGGGAGGTAACAAATTTGAGATTTTCTACGATTTAAATTGCTAAATTTTATGGGGGGTATTGAAGTTCAGGATGATTAGGGATTGAATTTGAGATGGATTTTGGGTATTGGGGTTTAGTTCTTAATTGGAACGTAAATTGCCAGAAGATTAGATTTCATTAAGGAAATGGCATTGTATGAGAGTATCTACATTGTTGCGTTGTTTGTGAAACTCAGAATGTAGCTTAATCTTTATTTATTTAGATTTTTATAATATCACTGAAACGGCTGGATTTAGTGGCATGAGTTGTTGATATCTATTTGCTGGATTACTTGGTATTGTGGTTTTTGGATTGTGTATGAGACTTAGGGAACAAAAATCTCTTAAAACCCAAAATTAACAATATGGGACTAAATGGATCCAAACATTTGATCTTTCAAAAGATCGGAAATTTCTGATAAAAAATTGAGGTTTTAGTTGTGAGACTATGATTCCGTTTGGTATCTCATGTCAGCTGGAATAATAATTAACCATTAAAATATATTATTCTATAAAAAATAGTTAAATCATCATAAATTTCCTGTTTCTCAGAATGTTAGTTAAGACCCCCATTTAGCTAGCATATTACCCATCCCTTTACTTTATATAAACAGCTTTATTTCATACGGACACATGTAGAAGTTTTAACTCGAGAAATGTTGTTGAGGTCTATGATACCTAATTGTTAATTCGAAAATGATTTCCTCAGTAGTATTACTCTATGCCTCCATTATTTTTCTAAGGATTTCAAGTGCGATTCCTCTAGAACTCATCCTTTGAACCTACATGAAAACTGTAATGTTGTTGCTTGCAAGTTCTTTTTGCATATACTAAGTTGCTTGCTCCTCATTGTTTGATGTTCTTACCTTTACTGATTTTAAGTTCTATATATGTCATCCTCCTTGTTGCAGTACTGCTGACTGGCAATATGGAGCTGACCAGTTTGTTAAAGCACTTCCTGACAAAGTGATAATCCATTGTAAGTTATGCTCAAGATATCAATTTAATTCTTCTCCTGCTTATTGATTCACCTTCTTCCTGTATTATTTTCTGCCTCCCTGGTGATATGCTTTTAGAGTGTTAGTACATTAATGCTGTTTTTTTTATGACCAATGTTTTAAAAAGTTGAAGCCCAAGGCGAAGAGTCAGACCCTTTAATGAAGCAAGGCTTAGGGTTCAAAGCGTCAGGTGGCTGCCTCACAACTTGATACGAGTTGCCGTGCGAGCACTCTTGATCGCGGAATTATCAAGAGTGGGTAAAGAAGAAGAACGACAGAAGAACACAAGAGTTGAATTAGGGCGAAGGAAAATACCTTCTCTAGATTATGAGAATCAATTGGATTTTACAAATCTCTCTCTCACAATCTCTCTAGATCAAAGAACAACCTCCCTGATCTCTTTTCTGATTACAAACTGAGTTCTCCACCCTAGAAAAGTCGTGTTTCTATTTATACTAAACAGAAATCCCAACTGGAGCAGGAAACAGACCCAGGCCCGGATCCGCGACGCGGTCGACCGCAGTGCCCAAGTCGGTCGACCGGTCAGAACGACGAAATCTGGAAAATCGATTACAGGGTTCTCCGGTCGACCGCAGTGCCACCATCGGTCGACCGATCTCAGTCCCGAGACACAGTTGGGGTCCGTGCACGATGCGGTCGACCGCCGTGACCACGCCGGTCGACCGGACAGAGCCCAACTGTAATTTCTGCAGTTTTGATGAATCCTTTCGACTTCGTTGCTTCCAATGGCCTCGTCCACGACTCCTCTACTCTATTCTCAAGATACCATGAGAATCATCTATCCTCAAGCTCCCATGAGGATCGCTAAGCTTTCGAAGAGAAGATACACCCGTATCATGGGTCCCCCCTTTAGGAACTTGAAGTCTCATTCAAGTTAGAACTTCAGCTGAGGGAACTCGCGAGCCCCTCCTTCTCTGTTGAACCACTTGGCCTTGCTAGGTACCTGACCTTGACGTCCAATGAGAAACGACTCCTTCGTCCCCCGCCTCGTCGTGGTCGTCTTCCGTCCCAAAATGCAATCTTCCTTCAGTGGCTCCTCTCTATCAAACCACAAGTCTTCAACATGCGGTAAGATCAACTTGTCATCACCTTCATCATCCAATAACGGAGGTTCAAACAACTTCAAGTACTCGGCATTGATCACCGAATACATGCCTAAGTAAGGTGGTAAATCTAAACGAAAAGCGTTGTCACCAATCTGATCGATAATCCGAAACGGACCATAACGAATAGGCTTCAACTTCTTCCCTTCTCCTTTGAGCCTCTCCTTACTCAATTTTAGCCATACCATATCGCCTTTACCAAAGTTACAAGGAACCCGATGTTGATCATGCTTCGCCTTGTACTTAGCTTGCGATTTCTTCAATTGAGCTTCAACCGTGGCATGAATATTTGCAATCTTCTCAAGAAATCGCTGAGCACGTTGTCTCTCACTCCCCTCCTTGCCGTCCACTGTGGCTTCACTTGAAAACACAAGATCGAACGGGCTCGGCGGTAAAAATCCATAACAAGTCTCAAACGGTGACTTCCCTGAAGATCCATGAATCGCCCGATTGAAAGCAAACTGCAAATATGGTAAACTCTCATCCCAAGTCTTAGGATGCCTAGAATTATACCCCCGCAACATGTGCACCATAGTCCGGTTGACTACCTCCGTTTGTCCGTCTGTTTGTGGGTGAAATGCCGTGCTCTTCTTCAATTTGGTGTCCATCAAACTCCACAAAGAATCCCAAAAATGCCCGAGAAAACGGCTATCCCGATCCGAAATAATCGAACTCGGCAACCCAAAGTGCTTCCACACATGTTCGAAGAACAATTGTGCTGCACCCGCTCCCGTCACGGTCTTCTTACAAGGAATCAATATCACCATCTTGCTGAATCGGTCCACCACAACGTACAAATAGTCATGCCCGCGCTTCGTAGTTGGCAACCCTCCTAGAAAATCCATAGAAATGCTCTCCCACGGCCTAGAAGGAACCGGTAATGGTAGGTACAATCCCCTCTTTCTGTTAGAAGGCTTCGAAATACAACATAACTTACACCCTCCAACATACTTGGTCACATCATCAAGCATCCGTGGCCAAAACACATGTCGCCGTAGATTGAGAAGCGTTTTCTGAATGCCAAAATGCCCTTGCACACGCGAGGTATGTGCTTCCCGAATCCACTGCAACCTATCACCATCCTCCGGAATGCATAGTGATGCCCCACGATACAATAAGCCATCATCTCCAAGTGCATACTCCCCCCTTCGACCAGCCTTCGCCTGCTCAAACACACTACCGAAGTCTCTACTGGATGCATACAACTGAACATACTCAAAAGGAACCAAGGGCTGAATACGCGTCGCCACCAACAACGACCTTATCGGTGGGCGAGATAACATATCGGCCAACTTGTTCGTCGCCCCCTTCTTGTACCTAATAATGATGTTGAAAGCCATCAAATAAGACATCCACTTCATGTGCCGCGCCTGCTGTAGCTTCGTCTGGGCATGTAAGAACTCCAACGGCTTATGATCCGAATGCACGACCACCTCCTTCCCTAACAAGTACACCCTCCAATGCTTAATTGCTTGATATAGCGCATAGAACTCCTTGTCGTAGGTTGGGTAGTTCGCAACAGCACCCGAAAACTTCTCAGAATAGTATTCCACCGGTTTCCCATCCTGAATCAACACCGCGCCCATCGCATAATTAGACGCGTCGGTCTCTACCTCGAAAGTCCGCTGCAAATTCGGCAACGCCAACACTGGTGCCTCCGAGATCTTCCTTTTTAGCAACTGAAAAGCCTCCTCATGCGTCTTTCCCCACTCAAACTGAACTTTAGCCTTTGTGAGGCCATGTAACGGTGCCGCATAAGTCGAAAAATGTCGAATGAACTTGCGCAAATACTGGCAAGCTCCCATGAAGCTCCTCACCTCAGTCACTGTCTTCGGCGTCGGCCACTTTGTGATCACCTCCACCTTGCCTGGATCTATCCTCCGCTGGCCCTTCCCTACGATGAAGCCGAGATACACCAACTCGTCCTTCCCGAACTCGCACTTTTTCCCGTTGAGCTTCAGCTGTCCGTCCTGCAACACTTCAAATACCTTCTCAACATGAACAAGATGCTCCTCCCAGGTCCTGCTGTACACCAAGATATCATCAAGGTAAACTATCACAAAATCCTCTATAAATGGTCGCAACAAATCATTCATAAGCCTCATAAAGGTAGCCGGAGCATTGCACAATCCAAACGGCATCACCAACCACTCGAACAAGCCTTGCTTGGTCTTGAACGCAGTCTTACAAGTGTCTTCCTCCCGAATCCTCACTTGATGGTAACCAGACTTCAAATCCAGCTTCGTGAAAAACCTCGCTCCCTCCAACTGGTCCATAAGATCATCGATCCGCGGTAATGGGTAGCGATTCTTGATTGTGATCTTGTTGAGTGCCCGATAATCTACGCACATGCGCCAACCTCCATCCTTTTTGGGCACCAACAACACTGGTGACCCGCAAGGCGAACAACTTGGCACAATCACTCCTGTCTCCAAGAGCTCCTGAACTTGCTTCTTGATCTCCTCGGACTCTAGTACTGATGTGCGGTATAGGCCTATGTTAGGTAAGGAACTCTCCCCTGTCAACATAATCTCATGCTCTACACCTCGACGTGGTGGTAGTCCCGTGATCTCCGAAAACAAGTCCGCATACTTTGCTTTTAACCTTTCAAGATCTCCCTCCTGAAGCTTGCTCAAGACGGACAAGCACATCCTACTCAGTTGCTCTTCATACAGCCGAATGAACAATAAAACGAACTTCCTGCCCGCATTCACCAACCTCTTAGCCTGAGTCACTGTCACCAAGCTCGTCTCCTGTGGAAGAGACGCCGAACGAAAAACGAATTGCTCGCCATCCTTGGTGAACGTATACTTTTGGGCTCGCCGATCATATACTGCGTATCTATCCCACAAATAAGGATTGCCCAAAATAACTTGGCAAACATCTAACGGAACCACGTCGCATGTGACCTCGTCAATATACGACTCGTGGAGTGCAAATCTGAATGAACACTGGTTCACTACACTCAATCCCGCCTCCTTCTGAATCCACCCTAATGGATAGGGCTTTGGATGCTTCACCGTCTTCAATCCCAGCTTCTGTACTAATGCCTCAGATATCAGATTTTTCTGACTCCCTGGATCTACAATAGCATCCACTAAGCTGGTCTTGACCTGCAATTTCAGAACAAAGAGCTGCTCCCTCGGGTCGTCATCTTCCTTGGTAGCCTGCTTCCCCGCCATAAGGTTGAGACTGCTATTGGGTTCGGTCATCCCGGGAACCTCCTTCGGACCCTGTGCTATCACGTACGCCTTCTTCTCCTCCTTCTTCTTCAATCCTTTTGGCTTCAGATGAGGATACTTATCCCAGCAACGATCGGCCACATGCCCTGTCTGTTTGCAGTGATTGCATGTCAATCCTGCTTTCCCCGAGTCAACCTTCTTCTTCTCATCCTTAGACTGAGAGCCACCCGTCTTGCTCCCCGATGGTTTGGAATCCCCCTTTGTCTCATTGCCCTTCTTCTGCCTGCCCTCAATGGCAATGGCCTTCACGCTCGCCTCTGCGATTGTCTCCACTGAAAACAGCTTCATCTCCTTCCGGATGTATTCATTCAGACCCGTCATGTACTTCATGAAGATGGGATACTCGTCTGTTGCGATGTTTAGAACCATCGCCTGCTGCTGGAACTCCGTCGTATACTCCTGAACGGTCTGATTAAACTTTTGGCGCAAGCCATACCACTTGTACCAACGCTCCTCAAGGAACCCTACTGGATAGAACTGTTTACGAAGTAGTTCCTTGAACTTGTTCCACGACGCCGCTTTCCTCTCCTGTTTGCAATAGGATTTCCACTACGTCAACGCGTGCCCGGAAAGCTTCAGTGTCGCGAACACTATCTTCTCCTTGGACGAATATCCGTAGAGAGTGAAGTACATCTCCATACGTTCGATCCAATCATCAAGCTTCTCCACGTTGATACTCCCATCATAAACAGGAATCTCAACCTTGAAGTCAATCTTCAGATTTTGGTAATTGTTCTTACCCCTTTGATGTCCAGCAGTCTTGACAATCTCAGTCTCCCCCTCTGAATCAGATTCCTCGCTCTCTTCGTCGGATTCGACGAGTTTCTTCTTACCCTTCGAAGAAGATTCCTCCTTTTTGTCACCTCCGTTGATTAGACCCACGAGTTGGGTAAGAGTCGTCCCGATCGTCTCAATCTGTCTCTCCATGGCATCAAGTCTCGCTGAATTATCTGCTTCAGTCATCTTCTCCTTCCTTAATTTCTGGATTCCTTTTAAAGAAATAAGGATCTCGCCAAGCTTCTTGTATTGTGAGCGAGTAAGGACCATACACAGGTTCCCCCTTCACAGGATCTAGGTGCTCTGATACCAACTTGATACGAGTTGCCGTGCGAGCACTCTTGATCGCGGAATTATCAAGAGTGGGTAAAGAAGAAGAACGACAGAAGAACACAAGAGTTGAATTAGGGCGAAGAAAAATACCTTCTCTAGATTATGAGAATCAATTGGATTTTACAAATCTCTCTCTCACAATCTCTCTAGATCAAAGAACAACCTCCCTGATCTCTTTTCTGATTACAAACTGAGTTCTCCACCCTAGAAAAGTCGTGTTTCTATTTATACTAAACAGAAATCCCAACTAGAGCAGGAAACAGACCCAGGCCCGGATCCGCGACGCGGTCGACCGCAGTGCCCAAGTCGGTCGACCGGTCAGAACGACGAAATCTGGAAAATCGATTACAGGGTTCTCCGGTCGACCGCAGTGCCACCATCGGTCGACCGATCTCAGTCCCGAGACACAGTTGGGGTCCGTGCACGATGCGGGCGACCGCCGTGACCACGCCGGTCGACCGGACAGAGTCCAACTGTAATTTCTGCAGTTTTGATGAATCCTTTCGACTTCGTTGCTTCCAATGGTCTCGTCCACGACTCCTCTACTCTATTCTCAAGATACCATGAGAATCATCTATCCTCAAGCTCCCATGAGGATCGCTAAGCTCGCGAAGAGAAGATACACCCGTATCACAACTTTAAGCATTTTAATTTTAAAATCTGTAAAACTTATGAACATACAATATGTAGTGGTATAATAATTTACAATTAGATACAATCATGTCTTGGTTAGTAAACAAGAATTAAATATGTGAAGTATAGGTGCAAATCACGATAAATTAAGCTACATATCTACATACATATGTACGTTATTTATACTCACATGGTCATATTAAAGATACATAGAGGCACTTTAATGTTAGTCAAAAATACTTTTATATCCTCTTGTCGTGTTTAAAGCACGCGCTTTAAAAGAGAAGTGCTTTATGAAGCACGAAGAGCTCACTTCAGCTATGCTTTAAGCTTTGAGGCATAAGCTTCAAGGGAACAAATAGCTTCACTCTTTGAGTTTTGAAGCATTTATCCTTCAAAAAGGTTTGAAGCGAATTTTGAAATGAGTTTCAAAAAAGCTTTTTCAAACATTGTTTATGACCTATCGCGATTTATGTCCTTTAAAATATCTCATGCATTAGAAGTATCTGTACTTGTACTTTCCTTATTAAGAAATGTTGCAACAAGCTCCATTAGTTTGAAAAGGAACCATCTCTACCACTTCTCTAAATATAAGAGTACACATGTAAACTACTGTGTCTTTTTCATTTTAAGATTTTATCACTAACATTTACCAATATGGATAGGACTTGACACTAACCATGTCTTAGGAAAGCTACCATACACTTCTACCTCCCTTTTTTGGAGCTTATAATTATCCAGGACTTTTGTCACTCTTATAATTCCCTAAAGATATTCGGTATATTTATTTCCTCTACACATATTAGTTAGCAATCCAGAGTATCTTAAAGGTCTTAGTATCATCATAAAACAATTGTGCTGACACTTCTCTAGAAAATAATGTGCTTACCAGTTAAAAGTTTAAATACTTTGGATAAATACCCTGCCAGATCTCGTCTTTCATGATCCCAACCACTATAACGAAGAAAGTCTCATCCTTCATTTCTTTACAGGGCTCGTAACATAAAATATGTTCCCTAAATTTGACACTATCTTGAAAGATGATGTCCAGATAATTGGTGAGCAACAGTACATAACCTAGATCATTAGATTGATTCATATCAAAGTAGATTCTCTAAAATCACCTGTCACTCATCCATACGTATTTCGATTTGTGAAGCAAATCTGGATGGTTTCTAATAGTTCCCACAAATAGCTCATGAACCTGGAGATGATATATTACAACTAGATGTAAATTTTGTGAAGTTCCTATGGAGTTTTCTCATTGGAGCATTTCATACCCAATCTCATTTAAGTGAGGAAAGGCTCGGATGATAATGAAGATCGACTGTCCTCATGTCACTTCTCAGGAATGTCTTATTAGCTCACATATAAAACCTAATATGTGAGATATTTATTGCTTCATTTATCTTTTCCCTAAGATCTGTATAAAATTATTTAATTTACATCATTTATTATTTCCCTTTAGTCTCTTTCATTTCAAAATGTTGTATATTTCTTATACTATAAGAGTAGTAACACGATTTTGATGCTACTTTAAACCATATGGCCATTAACATATGTGATGCTTTTAGGTAGTGAATGCAACGGGTACACACTGACATTGGATGGTGTTGATGTTATGGGTGAGCGCTTGGCAGAAGAGGTAGATTAATCATCAGATAATCTGTCCAGTTATAAGAAATGACAATTTTTCTTCCTTTTGGTTTTTGGTGGTAGATTCGTCTCCCACTGTTGGCCATCTATTTTTTATTTTCTTGCCCATTGGCATATATTGACAGGTCATTGGAGTCATCAACAGAAGACCCGGGCTGAAAAAAATTTCTTTCATTGCGCACTCTATGGGTGGACTTGCTGCAAGATATGCAATTGGTCGACTTTACAGAACTTCAAGTGGAAAACTCGTAGGGAACCCATCAGATGGCGTCTGTGCTGGTGACAATACCACAGGAACCATATATGGTCTAGAAGCAATGAATTTTATTACTGTAGCTACACCTCATCTTGGTTCGAGAGGTAATGGGCAGGTATTGTTCTTTTTGTCTTTCTTTGTTTTTAGCTGAAAGGTATTCTTGTTTAGAACTAGCAAAAATTTTGAAGTTAAGTATACGTTTAGTATGACCTAATATATAATAAATTAGAGCCTGTTTTCTTTCTTCTGTTTCAGCTTCTTCTTCCTTTCTTACTGTTTCTTAAAATTGAGATTTCATGTATGCATACAATTATTGTTTTTTTCATTTTTGTTCATGTTACTTTCATTAGACTGTTCACCAAGGCAGTGGATAGAGTTGGAGACGAGAACTGAGAGATTTTGAAGATTTTCAAATATTCAGAAAGAAAACTCTTATAATAGGATCTAGTGGATTGTAGAAAAGAAACAAGTATCTATAGTTATATAGATGTACTTAAATGTACATATGATGAAGTCCTAGTATGAAGACAATAGGAAGGGGGCTGTTTTTGGCATATTGAATCAAAAGGGAAGTTAAAGAAAGTTAGGGAAATCTTCACCTGAATTTGCATAGTTTCCATATTCACATGGAATTTGGAAAAATGGTTGAAAATATAAATTTCCAAAGGATCAAGATGCTCATTGGACAGCTTTCGAGAAAACAGCTTTTCGCCTCAAGAGGAGGAAAGTCTACAAAGAAGGATCTCGATATTACTTAATTATTTGGTTAGGTTTTCTCACACATTTTTGGCTGAATCCAGGAGAGAATAATTACATTCAGTGTCAAATGCTTTTGCAAACATCAACTTTCTCCTTTAAGTTCGTATGCCAATGAAAGAAAGTAGTATGAGATTTTCACTTTTCTAGTTCCCGTAACCAGGAGAGGATAATCTCTACCTTCTCTGTCATGCCCCAAGTTAGTCTTCTTTTGTAGAATCTAGTCCGGGGATCAAGTCAGTGCAATTTCAAATGAAGATGACTCAACATAGACGACCAGCTCCTTTACACTGCTGTTTTACGTACATATTATACTTACATGTTATTATTTGTCAAGTACATTTAAAAGACACATTTTCAACTACTCTCTGCAGATCATTCTTTCTAAGTTTCCTCTTGATCTAAAAAGGTTGATTAATAAACAAATGAGCTACATATTGGTGAAATCACTAGCGCAGTGAGATCAACAGTATCTGTGTTGTGTATTTATCGTGTAATAAAATAACATAATCAGTAATGAAGGCAATAAAATCATTTGATCGTTCAATAGTACGAATAGTTACGATGCGTGAAATACAATTTCCTTAGCGACCACTTTACATGCCGATATCACTTTATGTCTCTGTCCACGATAAACGATAATGATTATAACTTTAGGCTCGAGGCCTTGTATAATTCAGATATATGCCAATAGATCAATTAATAAATGCAATTAACAGTAAAGGTTCCTTTGGTATTGAGGTTGTATGCTGTTTGTATCTACAAACGAAAGAAATAGTATAATAAAATCAGGTAGCAATTTGATCAACATGTATTATACAGATAATACAGGCAATAATATCAACATGTATTATGGCAAAAACTGAGTTTATTTTAGACTTAAATGCACTTGAATACCCTATAGTTTTCCCTACTTTGCACTTATATAGCCTAACTTGTTTTTGGCAGCACTTGTATACCCTAAAGTCTTTGAAAATTTCACTTTAATACCTCATTTATGCAAACATGAGAATTTTCCCAAAAAATTCGCATGCGACACACATGCTAATTTTAGAACATTTTAAAGCTTAAATGTTTATAAAATTTTCTGTTAAACCTATCAAAATTCTATTTTAAAATAAAATTAAGGAGGTTTGAAATAGAATTATTGTAGTTTTAACTGTAAGTTTAACAAAAGTTAAGGGTTAAGAGCTCTAAAATTAGCATGTGAGTGTCCCATGAGAATTTGTAGAAGGAAATTCTCACGTTTGCATAAATGATGGTATTTAAGAGCAAGTTTTAAGGGTATATAAGTGCTGCCAAAAACAAGTTAGGGTATATTAGTGCAAAGTAGGGGAAAATATAGGGTATCTAAATGCAATTAAGCCTTTATTTTATCATTGTAGAAATGAATGTAATTAAGACCTAAGATTTTAATCTCAGTAACTTATAACATGATAAAGTTAGCTAATCAAAATATTGCTTGTGTTGCACCAAATGTAATTATAATCGGTATGGGTCATCTCAGATTCAATATTATAACTATCTATACAAGTAGCTTATGTAAGTTAGCTAGAATTTTTCAAGTTGTTAGTTAGAACACAAATATTTCTGTGTGTGCGTGTGTATATGATTCTAAGGAGCCATCTTAGATTGAATCTGCTTATAATAACAACTCTCAAGCTACTATTAGAATTGTACCTTTCGAAACATTGTATGGTCAGAGATGCAAGTCACCTATTTAGTGGGATAAAGTAAGTGACAGAAAAGAGTTAAAAGCCGCATCTTTTTCCTATGCTTGAAGAAGCAATTGTAAATGTTTATACCTTTAGAAAGAATGTTAGCAGCTCAGAGCTAACTAAAGATATCGGTTGACAAGCGACGAAAGGATTTGGAATTTCAAGTGCATGATAATGTATCGTTTGCGAAGGGAAGTAGTCAATTACGGAGAAGGCAATAAACACGGTCCAAGGTACATTGGACCCTTTGAAATTTCAGAGAGAATAAGAAATGTGGCCTATAGGCTTGATTTACGGCCTAGCTTAGATAACTGATATATTCCACATTTTACTGCTTAAGGAAGACCTTCTAGACTCTTCGCATATGCTCTACTACAAACTTTTGAAATTGAGAGCAATTATCTGTATGAAGAAAGGCTAGCGCGAATCTTAGACTAGAAAGTTCACGAACTGCAAAATAGGAGTATTTCGCTTGTTAAAGTGTTATGGGATCACCACGACATGGAATAAGCAATTTGGAAAAATAAAGATGGAATGCAACAACAATATGTATTTCTATTTCATGATCCATAAAAATTTCGAGGAGGAAATTTTTATAAGGGGATAGAGTGACACTACACATATATTCTTTAAATTAATTTTTGTAACATTAGATTACATAATTAAAAATTAAACGATAAGACTTTTTGACCTGATGTTTCCTATGATTTGGCCTTACTTTTATTTAATATTTATAAAGGAAGTAGTATGTTTAGCACATACGCATTGTTAAAATAAATTGCTAAATAGACAACAAACATGTGAGCTCAGGGAAACAAAAGATTAAGGAGATATTACGAAAGTATACCATTGTCTAGACTTAAGCACATGTTGGCTAAAAATATGTCAACAAAACACATAGCTCACTAGGTAGAGTCATGAAGTTCTATCCATAAAATAAGTTATATCGTTTTTAGCCAATAGAATGAAAAATTAAGACTACAAGTTTCTTCAGTATATGGGAGAAACATCTATGAATTCTAACTCACAACTTGCACTTAAAATCCTCAAGCTAGTTTATGTAAATTAACTTGTAAACATAGTTATTTAAGAACTCTAGAAGGGATGAATAGGGTTATTGGGAGTATGAGGATAATTTTTAAAATTTTGCCTGAGATATGGAATAATAAGTTTAACTTGAAGGGTCTTTCTATTTTTAAATTGTTTGCAGAGAAGATAATAAGCAAGCAGCTCCAGCACAATATATATATATATGGTGGTTCACCCTTCAATCAAGCTAAATCCACCTACCAAGCATCACAACTAGGATTTCCAAGAACTATTAAGGAACTTCAGGCGAAAGCTCCTATTAGATTACAACACACTCAGTCTTACTTGACAACCTCAAGCAGGCAAGAGTTGACTTGTCTTCCCATTTGAAGTGTTCATAGCTTACAATCACATAATAGAGTTGTTGTCACAACACAATAGTTACGTGAGAACTCATATTTGACTACGTATACCAACAAGCTTTCTTGATTACAAAGTGAGGCTCTAATAGCTTATTAAACTTAAGGTAAGCACAAGTTAGTGACACAAGCATGGATTGGGATTTGAAGAATGCTTTGGAGAGGAGGATGAATATTTTCAATCTTAGCAATAAAGAATCTTATTAGATAGGTGGTTGATTTCAGATAAATTTTCAATAACGAGCTCTCAATAGAGAATGGATCATCTCAAACAACGGTTACAAAACAACTCCGCTTGAGGTCTAGAGGCTAGTCATGAATAAAGTTTGATTAAGGGACAAAGAGTTGATAGAATATATAAAAGGCATAAGGCAACATTTTACTTGCAAAGATCTGAGAAGAGCATAGTCTTTCTAGGAGATAAGGAGTTGTAGATGAAATATTTTAGGTCCAGTGAAAAGCTCTATTGTTGATAGATCAAGAGGATAAAATTATTCTTTTCGGCGTCGTTTGACAAGAGGATAAAGTTATTCTTTTTGCCGTCGTTTGACACGGGGTTAAGGAAGGTCAAGTAGAAAGATTAAAATTTAAGAGGCATGACGAGTTGGGTATTGCATTCTTAAAATATGTTTCTGATGAAACACTATTAAAATATTAAAATAGCTACCCTTATCAAACACTGACTCTTACAATTAATAATTAAAATATTAAATTAGACATTACACACTACTCTAGCTTATATAGCTATGGTGAATCAAAAATATTAACATAACTACTCAGCGCACAAACTATAGAGCAACTATTGATAGCTCCTACACTTTATAACTAAGGTAATAAATGAGACACTACCCTTGACTGAGAGATGGGGTTAAGTATTGAACCGTATTAATTGGCAGAATTGTAAATCCGTCAAAATGATGGGTTTTGATAGGTTAAGTGTTCTTAACCACTTATCAAGGGTTAACAAACCCCTTATCAATAAATTAGTGTTTCACAGTTTAGTGAAGGTTTAAACTCCTTATACCCTCCACTAACCTTTTGCCAAACGCAACCTTCAAATTCAATGTCAAAGATATCGTTTTGGACAAAAAATAACACTTTACGTAAAATAGATGTAAAATTAGCTAACTAAGAAAGAAAATTGCGACCGAATCTACGTGGACGGTGGATCTATTAAGATCCTTGAGAATAAT